CTTGTACCATTTGAAGTGATCCAGAAGATTCATTCTCTCTGATATTCTCTATGAAGATTCTCAAGCTGAATGCGCTATCTTTCAAGAATCAGTACAAGAAGCCTCCTCACTCAATGTGCGTTCAATGTCAAATTAGAAAAGTCCAACTGCTCGAGATGAAGTCATTTATTGAAGATTCATATGTTCATCTTGAATTCGTGAAGATATCGAAGATTAAAACTGAATCCAAACTTCAAATGAAGATTGATAAGAAAAGGCAACTGCTTTTTATGGGGTCTTGTTGGGACATTTAGAAAAGAATGCTATAAACCAAGGGGGAGATTGTTGGGTCTAAAATATTGGTTTATACTTTACTTTTCTAGGAAAATATATTTTTCAGTCTAGGGCCATAAATAACTTGGTTTTTATGGTTGTATGTGTGTTTACGGCCGTAAATAGGTATACAGCCTTGAACCTGTTCACAGCCCATGTCTCATATATATAGGGTGAGGATTGGATGAGAGTGTACGGCTAGAGGAGCATAAGTGTGTGTATTCTAAGGTGTTTTAGAGAGAGAAAGGAGAGAAGGTGCAAGTGTGTGTGAATCTTGTGTATTGTTCATCATTCCAATCTTGAATACATCATAGATTCAGATTATTATTAGTCTTCTCTTCTATTTTGATATGGCGTCATCTGCTTGATTGGGATTCCGCACCATCAAGTGGATCTGATTGATACACAAGCAGATTGGTGACTTATAATCACACAGCTATCTGATAGAAATTATGTTATGCTTTAGGCCTTTCATATAAGACATATTTGAGAATAATGAGTTGCCCTTTATGGTTCCAAAACATTTCGTTTTTCCATTTCCATTGTCTCTATAGATGATTACAGGGCCATCTTTATTCACATAATACTCCATAAGAGACTTAAATCTTGTCATATGTCGAGAGCATCCACAATAAAGATACTAGATATCCTCCATAAGAGACTTAGATCCTGCCATATGCCGAGACCATTCAATGGGTTTAATGATGGTAGTTTTAGCGGATCCAAAAATATTCTAACATTCAACAGGAAGACAATTCAAGGAGTTTATTTTTCTTCAACCAATTTTGGATTTGAATAAAATTATTTTTTTCTCTTTTTATGTTTTCCCTAATATAGAGTTATTAACCTTATAAGAGGGATCGCCACATCTGTAGCACATCCTAATTCCAAATAGGTTTTCTTTTAGAGTAAGAGTTTTGTTTTTCAAACAACTTAGGTGCTGTTTGGTTCGCAGAATGTTGCTGAAGGAATTTGAATTGGAATTGGAAAAGGTATATGTCATGAATTTGAACCTAATTCCATATGGTGTTTGGTTAGTAAGAAATGGAATTGGAATTAATTCCAGAATCTGTTTGGTCAGCAGGATATGGAATTGGAATTCATGTAAAATGACATAATTACCCTTTTTGTATGTTTGCTTAATTTTACCTTGTTTTCTAACTTATATGTAAAAATACATTATGAAAAGTATAAAAATAGTAGAATTTCGACGGTGGTGGTGGTAGTGGCGGTGACAATTGTGGGTGGCGATGATGGTGGCTGCGACGGTGGTGGTGATGGTGACGATGGCATTGATTGTGGTGGCAAAAGTAGTGGTGATGGTGGCAGTGTCAGCTGGTGGTGACAGTGATGACAATGATGGTGCTGGTGGTAGCAGTGGCGACTGGTGGTGGTAGCGGCGATGGCGGTAGTGTTGGTAGTGATGGTGGTGGTAGTGTTATTAGTGGTGGTGGTGGTAGTGGCGGTGGTGGTGGGTGATGGCATTGGTAGAGGTGGTGGGTAATGGTCGTAATGGTGGTGACGGTAATGGTGACGGTGGTGGTCGGTGACGACGGCAACGGTGCTAACGATGAGGATGGTAGTTGGTGGTGGCATCGCATGCAGTGGCGGTAGGTGGCGGTGGTGGTGGTGGTGGTAGCGGTGGTGGTGGGTTGTGGTCGTGGCGGTGGTAGCAGTGGTGGTAGGGGTGGTGGTGGTAGCGGCGGTGGTGGTGGTCAGTGATAGTGGTACAAGGGTATTTTTGTAATCTACCACTTTCTTGATGAAAAGGAATGTTTTCCATCCAACTTTGGAAGAAATTCACTTTCCCTCCATACGGTGGAAAATTTATTTCATTTAGGAATCCTTTTCCCTCCTATATGTCCAACCAAACGCATGAATTCGAGGGAATTGCAATCATTTTCCCTCAAATTCCATTCCTTTCCTGCCAACCAAACGCACCCTTAGGTTTCCATGAAGTATAATCATTTTCATTTAACTTAAAAGTTGTTTCTTTAGTTCTAAATATAGAGAATGATCAAAACTACAAGATGTAGATTTGATGGTATTATGTTTAGAATATGAACATTCAAAATTAACAGTGTCAAAAGTTACTGTGCAATCATGACCATTATATTCACTGGTGGAACATTCATGGGATTCAAAGAGAATCTTATTAATAGTATAAATATAACAACTAGAGATACAAAAGATTATTATAGTAGCAGTTTTAGGACTCTCTTACTCATGACTATGGGGTTTAGCAAAAGAGTTAATAAAGACACTATTAGAAAAATAGCCTTTTACGACGCTCATTGCGCGTCGTAAAAGGCTCAGACGACGCGAAAATTCGCGTCAAGAAAGGCCCTGTCATAAAGAGAGATGATGCTCATTTAGGACATGCAATTACGACGCGCGTTTACGACACGCAATGCATATCAAGGAAGGCCCTGTCATAAAGGAAGACGACACGCATTTGCGTGTCGTAACCTTAGGACGCGTGTGTTAATGACACGCAATGCGTATCAAGAAAGCCCCTGTCAAGAAAGGCCGTGTCATAAATGAAGACGACACACATTTTTGCGTATCATAATTTTAAATGTTAAAAAAATATTATTTATAGATTTACTTATTTTCAAATTAAAGTTGTATTTAATGTTTCATAATAGAAAATAAAATATCATATACAAAAAATAGAATCCATTGCATAAATTTAATGTCATACAAATAATCGTTCTATGGAAAGATAAAACAAATCAATAGAACTTGTAACAAAAATTTACAAACAAATTAGATATAAAAAATACAATCCATTGCCCCTTTGCTTATTCAAGATCAACCTGCAAACAACTAATTAATTTGTTCAAATTCACCCTTGTTTCTAATCTTTTTCTTAAATACTTTACAAACATAATTCATCCATAGTACCTGAACTATAGCTGCAGCCTTGTTTCTTCTTCTTCTGAACTCATGTCTTGCAACCATTGCTCTAAGCCTAGTCTGAATAGATACACCAACTCCTTTTCAACTATGTGAAAGATACAACCAGAGAGTGGCCTACCTTCATAATAGCAACAACTAATGAAGCAGGAATGAAAGAGAAGGAAATACTCACAACAATAGCTGCAGTGAATGCATCTAGGTCCTACAAGATCATACAAATCAATATTTAAATACACAGCACATATAAAGGTGTCAATATTCTGATTTCATCTACTTAATATATAAAGACTCCAGCAATAAATAGATATGTTATGTTACCTTGAGACACCTTTGAAGGGGATCCAAAAGATAATTTGTAGTCTTATCAACTTGGATGAATCCCATTGTTGTAACAGATATTTCAAGAAGAATATGACTAACAAGATATATAAACATGTATGTATAGAGATAAAAAAACCTTAAGCATTCCCTCAATATTATGTTCACCAAAATACAACCGACACAAGTTGTGCCTTCAGATAAAACAAATAAAGTAAAGCCAAACTAAAAGCACAATTGTTATTGCCCCTTCCCTGAAATACAATCATTTACAAATTATAAATATATTGCCATTCAAAACAGAAGAAAATAAGCACATTGCTGATATAGGAAAATAATATTTCTCAAACTTTTATAAAATAATCCACAATTAATGATTGCATACCTGAACCATTCAATTCAATTCCATTATTTGTTAAAATACCAAAATACCCCATCATATATATAATCAAATCCTTTGACACATATTCCATTCCTTCTGATAATATTCTACAAATCAAATGCCTGTGATTACTGCAAAACTGGAGAGAAAGTGTACAAGTGAAGAAAATTGAAAATAGGTGGTATGGGCTTAAGCTAAGCAAGGAGATGGGAACGAATTAGGAGAGGGTAGGTGACACAACTTCCAGTGCTCCATACCTACATTGCATTTCATAATTACAAACATTATTAATTAATTATTTATGATTTATTTTAATAGCAGTTGAGTTTGAGTGGCTAAATTGATAAAATGGGTGCTAGAAATACCATACTTACAACCAATAACAGGGGCCCTGTTTGTACTTGTCTTGGAATGAAAGGCTTTGGGTCATCGCCAGGCCCTCTGATGAACCCACTGCATCAATCAATTCAAAAAAAACAAGCTCTACTTTCAATGATGAGGATGAAGTATATGTTATATTGACAGGATATGATAAGTCTTTTATTAGTTAGTTATTATGCAAAGAATGAAAATGAGTGACATGCATTAATGAGGGGGTTATGATTGTAGCCCTTTTAACATTATATATGACAATGAGACCCTTGTACACCTCATTTCCATTTTTATATGACACAGCCAAACGCTCCCCTGTAGCATCCCATCCTATCTTCTCAAAATTTCTACCGAATACTTAGACCAGGGAATCTATTTCTTCCATGAATGGTCATGATTTTATCCTGCAAACACGGTACCCCCTTTCCCATGGCGTTCAAGGTTACTCCCTGTTGGAGCAAGAAGATGCGGAAACATAAAATTCAAACATCAATAAACTGGGGTAGCTCTTGGATTGTTAGATAACATGCCACATAAAATCAAAACCAAAGTATAATTTTATGGATTAAATGAGCAAAACCCAAAAATATAAGCATGTAACCATATACACTAAATCTAATACAAAAATTCTATGAAGTATATGAAATTACATTACTCAGTGAAGTTGGATAAAAAAGGAACCTACTGCTGACGGCTATGGCTTGTCACCGATTGAGTCCCCTAAAATGAGTTTGGATAAACCTACAAGTTGATCCACATTGATGGGGATCTTGGAGTGGACTTCTGTGGGTTTAAGAACCTGATGAGACTCTGTTTTAGCTACTAGCTACACATATAAGGAATAACCCTTAGAACCTAACATTTAATGTAAACTGTGATGGAGGTGTAGGAGGGAATTGCACTAAGCTTTTAGCACAACTATTTCCTCTCCAAGGGAAAATTACTTTATGCCCTTCATCAAGTTGATTGGAAAATTCTTCTCCAAGATCTGATAACTCATAACATTAACAAAAACAATACTCAAGTCTTAAAAACAAAAATACAATACATGTAATCCAAATTGTAGCAAATTTCACCTTTTGTAGGAGTTCATAAATCTGGTGCAATGTATTTCAAGGTGGCACCACAAGACTCACATTCAATCTTATTAATATCCACGTTCACCCAACCTCTTCTTGCATAGGAAAGAGAACTAGCAACCTGTATGAGAGTCATTTGATCAATGAAATGATTGTAGAACATGTTAACAAAGGAGAGAAAGGGAATTCTACACGAACCTTAGGCTTTCCAAACCAATTTGCAAGCTGAAATGTAGACAATCGCCTTAAAAGATCACCCCTTTCCCATGGTATACTTGAAGGCTGAGATGAGCCAAGAACTTAACCATAGGCACTTGCACTCAATGAAATCCACATGGGCTATGAACCAATTCGAGATAAGGAACCTACTTTTAACCCCTGCCCTTGACCATGACCTAACCAATATGTACTACCAGCATTAGTGGCAACAACAGGTGATGATGCCCCAGCAAAACATTTGTAGGTGGCACAAGAACATGGAAATCTACCCCACCTTGAACTGAAGTGAAAAAGTCATAAAAGAAGGTCTGGGTGAGCAATAAATGTTGGATGATTTATTGAAGATTTAGGGTTCGGTTTACCTTGCAGCGGGGGTGGGAGGACGGGGAGATGAATTGCGGAAAAGTAATGGGCAATATCTCTTGGAAATATGATCAACTTTCAGTGGACCTCTAAATTATGGAGTCATTTAAAGTTTTCTCAACAGAGAAACATTATTCAATAGAAAAGGGAGAATGGGGATGAAATATCGAGAGAGAGAGAGAGAGAGAGAGAATACAGATGGTCGAGAATGAGTGACCATCAACTTACCTGATGGGAAGAACAACGAAGACAACTTGCACGTTGATTTGTGGAGGAGGAAAGGCTACCTATACCTTAAACAATGCTTGAATCAGACCTATGTAGGGCTTCACTGGCTCATAGATGGCGACATAAATAAGTCGTAAAGCCCTTAATCTCCTTGTAAGTTTGACATAGGCATAATGTAACGATCCCTAAATCATATTATTGTCAGTGTGAGGAGTTGTAAATGGTTGGCTCTTAAATGAAGGCTTCTAAAATTGATAAGTCATCGCAGTCTCGGTGAGGTGAGATGAGCTCAATGTCACCAGGGGGAAGAGTTGAGCGGAGGTCTCTAGAGGTAAGAGGTGAGCGGAAGTGAGCAGATGTAAGGAACTTTGCAAAGAGCATCCTTTTGAAAAAAAACCCTAGATCCCTTACATTTTTGTTATAACATGAAAAGTACGCGCAGTCTGAGGCTAGAGGATGCAATGATGATTGGAGGCGGTGGATATGGGTAAGGGACGGGGTGGAGACGAGGGAAAAGAAGGCGGGGGTTTAAAAAATTTGGGATTTCATTTTCCTTTTAAGAGAACCGTGTTTCTTAAAAAAAAATATGAAACGACATTGATAGAGGACGCTCTTGTGCCCTCCGTGTTTTTTATTTTTTACATGAGACACTAATTTAAGGGCACGTAATAATCCGTGACCTAAATCCTTCAAGTTTTTTAAGAGATGACACTTTTTTAATGTCACTCTCTTTTGCGTAACATAAATCAACGAGTGTCGTGGTTTGCACGTCGTAAAAGGCTCTTTTTCTTGTAGTGAGATTAGAGGAGAACACACGAGGTAAGACCATCAGAATTTGTGACACAATGATTGTCTATAAGGTCTTAGTGATGTATAATTCCACCACTTATAAATCTAGTTGTGTACTCATGAATAAGTTCAGTTTTAGTTGGAATATTTTGTTTAATTTCAATTTGCTTGAAAATCTCAATAGCTTCATCGAAAATTCATTCAATAATTTTCTCACACTTATAAGGTGTTCAATCATTGAAAACTTTGACGGTTTTAAATCAGAATGAGCCCAGTTATTTTTAATACTTTTACATTTTTGAGAAACTTCAATTGCAAAGTCCTTTTCACTGTTAAGATCGTGATTGATGATAGAAACATTACGAAGTTGTAGATTCATAAGTGATTTCTTGATTTGATTTTGAAATATCAAGATGTAGATAATCAAACATTGTAGATTTTTCTCTTTCAAAATAAATTACAAACTTTTTAACCTGATGCAAGGATGAGGAATACCAGTTCTAAATTTTTGAATCACTTGTAGATTTAGCAAGATCAACTTTAAACACACTAGAGCTACTGCTACTTTCATTAGTGAAAAAATCACCATTGGAAACCATCAAACATATATCCTTCTTAACCTCTTCATCTGATGATTCTTCATCATCAACCCACTCTTCTTCTTCAGCAACAATAACCTTAGACTCCATATTTCTCCTTTTTCAGAGGGGCCACCAAATGCATGTAGTTTGTTTCATAGGATTCATCTTTAGGATTGTTCTTCTTAACTTTTCAATCTCGATGAAAGTGATTCGCGCCTGTATAGTTAAAGAATTTCCCATCATCCTTTTTGGAGTTACCAGCGTCTGACGTTTTAGACGCTGATAAGCTACATTTTGATGAAAACTTTCTTGCTTCCTTGAACCTTTTGTTTTTGGTATTATCGAAGTACTTCACAATCATAGTAGCACTTGAGTAAATCTCGACATTGTACTCTTCATCACAATCATCATGATCTGACTTGTCAGTTTCACTTTTAGGAACAAAACTTGACTTTTTAGCAAACAGTGCAGAATATATTCCTTTGAATCTATCCTTCATCTTCTCTCTCGTCAGAACCATTGTTTCTTAATTTTTTTTTTAAAATTTCCATGCAGGCTATGAAGATCAATTAAGTAGATTTTCTCACTATTCTTCAGCACATCACATGATGTTCCTATTTTTCGTCAAGAGAATCTAGAAACGTTAGAACTAAAACAAAATCATGTTGAAAATATCAAATCTTTTCATGTTGTTAATTACACAATTAAAATGATTAAAATTTTGAGAAATAGATTCATTCCTTTGAGCAAATAACTGCTCATATTTGCGATTGAGACTATTTTCCCTAGAGGATTTGACTTCTTTAGTTCCTTCATGAGCTATCGTCAAGGTATCAATAATCCCTTTGGCAGAGAAATTGTTCTGAAAGAGGTGGTACACATCATAAAGAAGGGAATTTCTTATTGCAACGCGAGCTTGAACATCAAAGTTATGTAAGTGTAACATCACAAAAATTAGACCCAAAAATTTCATTTTTAATTATTAAATTAAACCATAGTTATCAAAATCATCTCATCAAAACATAAGTCATAGTTTCTCAAAACATCATGAACGCTATATCCATATCAAATCAACTATCAAATATACCAGGGTAAACATCATAGGCTAAAACATCATGTTGTGTGTGCAATGCAGTCATCCCGAGCTCTTTCCTTTGCTACCAAAAGTACCTGAAACCAAAACTGAAAACTGTATGCACAAACCTTAGTGAGTCTCCCCAAACAACCACATACCATACACATAATCACATGTAAACATATCGTGGGCCCCACCCGGTATCAGACAATGTCCGGCATCGGGCTCCTCCCAACATCAAGCAAAGATCGTTATACATATAAACATATCAACAAATACACATAAAATAATCACATAACATAGACATATAAACATTCCTCAGCCCTGCCTGACATCGGACCGAAATCCAGAAGCATACAAACATTCCTCGGGCATTGCCCAACATCAACCCATAATCCAAAAACATAGAAATACAGACACATGCAAGAATCACGAAGACATCAAGCATACAAACATTCCTCGGGCACCGCCTGGCGTTGAACTGAAATCTGGAAAACATATAAACTAGAAATGGGCACCGCCCGACATCGGACCTTAGTCCGGAGCACATACAGTCATACATATGGTCTGGCATTGGTTCCATCGACCTGTTCAAATAGGCGGAAAACTCATATGAATGTTAAATCTCACAGTAATAAATCTCTAAAGGAAGCTCCGACGACTCCTCAAGCTATCATCACCAAAATAACACTTTGTCAAAACCTAACAATAGATCACGGGTAAAATGACCATTTTACCCCTAATCAAATCAAGTCCATGACCTAAGCCCAAATCCATAACATTAAAGGCCCAATTCTAGATAGCCTTCCCAAGCCTACTAGTGGCCCACTAATGGCCCAATTATCTAAATGGGGCCCAACTCCTAAAATGAGCCTTCCTTTAAACCCAAAAATATTTTTTTCCCAAAAGATGATTCAATAAGACCCAAAGCTAAGAAGTCCAAGAATGGCCCAAATCGAGGCTGAGAACAAAACTAGCCCATTGACTGAGTACGCAGGGCGTACTCACCTGTACGCTAAGCGTACAGACTGCATGGCTTGTATGTTGTGTGTATTGGATTGTACACTCATCATACTCCTTTGTTAAGCCATAATCTCAAAAGAGCTTAACCCCTTAAGACCTAAAGCTCCAAACACATATCTGAGTCCATTAAAGCATCTTAACTAATAAAGTCGATTACTTGGTGTCTTGTAAACCACCAAATGGGTTCTAACTTGGAATACGACAATCTACATTTATGAAAATGGCCAAAATTCATGCAAAAAACTCTCCAAGACCTTCAACATGATAACTTTCTAACTTAGGGACTCAAATAGCACCAAGGGTGGCAACCCTAAGCCTAGAAATCATGTTTGAGAAATAAAGCTTCATCCTTAGGACCAAAAAGGTCCAAAAACTCAATATAAGAGATATAAGCACTCATGGATCAAGTTCAAGATTTTATACCTTCAAAAGGTCTAAAAGGAAGCAACAATCCCATATCTACAACTTCTCCTTTGTACCACCACCTTGCTTGACCTTTACTTCCTTGGAGAATGGATACAAAATGCCAAAATGCTCTCAAGAGGCCTTATAAGAACAAGAAAACACAAAATATAGATTAGGGTTTCGTAGGAGTAGCTTAAATGTTAGAGGGAGGTTGGATGTTAGGGTATAATGTTCTTTATATAGGGATCAAACCCTAAATTAGGTTTTTGTGGACTACACACATACGTTGCACATACTCTTCAGTATGTCACGCGTACGTGCATGGCATGCATGATTAATTTACATCAGTACGCTGAGTGTGCATGGGGTGGTACGCCCAGTGTACGACACCCCTTAAGCCTACTTTGAAAGGATCCAATGGATCCAAGCCCAATCAATATAAAATAATTAATCCAATACATAAATAATACCATGGAGAATTATCGGGCGTTACAATTCTCCACCACTTGAATCAGACTTCGTCCTTGAAGTTTGTCACCTCAAAAAACTTGGGATAATTCTCCTTTATTCCCTCCTCGGACTCTTACATCCATTCCGAACCCTTGCGGTGTATCCACTACACCTTCACCAACTATACAACCTTGTTCCTCAAGGTTTTCGTCTTCTAATCGAGAATCACTATCGGTCTCTCAACATAGTTCAGGTGTTCCTTCACCTGAATATCCTTTAAAGGTAGAACTACATAATCGTCCATTAAGCACTTCCATAGCTTGGAGACATGAATAGTACTATAGATATGACTAAGCTCGACTGTCATATCCAGTCGATACGCGACCTGGCCCACCCGAGCCAAAACCCTGAACAAACCGATGTACCTGGGACCCAACTTGCCCCGCCTCTTGAATTGGATGACACCCTTTCAAGGTGACACCTTCAGGAGAACCATGTCACTTACCTGAAAATCAAAGTCTGACCAGCGCTTGTCGGTATAGCTTTTCTACCAACTCTGAGCAGTCTGGAGCCTACTTTAGACCTTCTGGATCTTCTCAGTGGTCTTAAGTACCACCTCAGTACTCCCTATGACTCTCTCACTGACCTAGCCACAATAGATTGGAGTCCTACACTTCCCCCCATAGAGCATCTCTAAGGTAGGTCGCTCTATGCTAGCGTGATAGCTATTGTTATATGAAACTTCTGCTAACGGAAGATACGTATCCCAACTCCCTCCAAAATCTGATACACACACATGCAACATATCCTCTAGAGTCTGAATCATCCTCTCGCTCTATCCATCCATCTAAGGATGAAGTTTTTTACTAAAGTGAAGATGAGTACCAATCTCGTCATGGAATTGTTTCCAAAATCTGGAAGTGAAACGAACATCTCGATCTAACACAACCAAAACCGACACTCCATGACATGCCACCACCTCGTGTACATAGAACTCGACTAGCTTATCAGCCAATATACTATCTTGGATCAAGGTGAAATGAGCAATCTGGGTCAACCAATCTAATATGACCCAAATCGAATCCACTCCACGTGCGGTCCTGGGATGCTTCATGATAAAATCCATAGTGATATCTTCTTATTTCCACATGGAATATTCAATGACAACATATTACCGTGAGGTCGCTAGTGCTCGGTGTTGACTTTACTGCATGTGAAACATCTATCCACATACCAAGCTATGTCCCGCTTCATGCGTGGCCACCAATAATCAGGATGAAGATCCTGATAGATCTTCATCGTCACTGGATGAATAGAGAATCTCAACTTGTGAGCCTCTTCCATCAGAACCTAGTGTACACTGCCCCAGTAAAGAACCCAGACCCTCCGATATGGGGACAACAACCCATAGTTGTCATAATCAAAGGAAGCCACCTGACCTGTGATCCGCTCACACTTCCAACGTTCCTCCTTCATACCTTTTACCTTAGCCTCCAGAATTCGTTCCAACAATAGAGTAATCACTATCATCCTCTAGCTTATATCCCGAATCGGAGCCACAACTCCCTTGTGGCTAAGAGCATCGGCCAACACATTGGCCTTCCCTAGGTGGTGAAGGATCTTGGAATCATAATCCTTCACTACATCCAACCAACGATGTTGCCTCATGTTCAGATTCGATTGATCTATTAGGTACATCAAGCTCTTGTGGTCCGTGTAAATGGTACAACGAACCCCATAGAGGTAGTGTCGCCAAATCTTAAGGACGAAAACCATAGCCCCCAGCTCCAGATAATGCGTCGGCTAGTTCGCCTCATGAGGCTTCAGGTGCCTCGACGCGTACGCCATCACGCGACCCCCCTGCATCAGCACTGCACCCATACACGTGATCAAAGCGTCATTGTAAACCACAAAATCGTCGACGCCCTCAAAAAAAGTAATAATTGGTACCTCACACAACCACTATCTAAGAATCTCAAAAGCTTCCTGCTGCTCAGGACCCCAACAGAATGTCACCGACTTCTTGGTCAGTCTGGTCAATGGTACAGCAATCTTGGAGAAATCATGGATGAATCTCCGATAATAACCTGTCAGAACAAGAAAACTCTGAATCTTAGATGAATACCTTGGAACCTCCCACTGCATCACGGCCTCT